ATTAACACTAATTATAACAAAAGCTGTATGCAACATTATAACCTAAGTACACACACTGATATATCTGACGATGTTTTAAAGCTTCTACTACAGGTACATGTATCACATAAACTTTAGTAACCATGGTAATATCAACAACGATTTCTGAAACAAGAGACAGTTAACATTCTGATATTATTGTTTTTCGTTACTGTTTCAAAATAACCAAGATTTTAAAAAGTGTTGTAAACTTTTGGTATATATAATTAATGATATAAAAAAGCAGAAATAAATGAAGGGTCTATTTTTTTTTTGGTAAAAAGTAACCCATGGGCCAGATGAACTATAAATGATGTCGAGGTCAAATTAATGAACCCAATATGATATATTTGAACATCTTTAAATCATTCCATATACCAAATAAATTAGACTTTTTGCTTACGGCATTAGAGATTTAAACATAATCACAATAAATCAACATGACCAGTGAAGCATGGAAATGAGGTAAAGAGGACCCAACCATATAATTAAATCTATACAATAACTTATAACAACCAAGGACTTCTTAATATCCTACACAACCATAAATATCCCCCAATTTGCTGAACAGACTCAAATTGATGTGTTGGCAATAACATAAATAACTAGGAAAAAAATATTTTTCCCCCATACTTAAAATCCTTGGTGAAGTGTTTTCATAAAAATAAAAGAACAATTTAAGGCCTACAAAAAAAGTTTAATTTCCAGTTTCCCTACATCATGTATAAATATATATATATGTATTTGTACCTACTCCAACTATAACATAAATATTTTGAAACAAGCACTGTAAACGTCTATACAATTTTGGTTAGACATGTTAAAGTTCTGCAAGTTTTATATAGGTAAACTTAGTAATTTTGAAAATTGTACTTTTAGAAATTTTTTTATAACTTGCGACTAGCGAATGTGTTTAATTTTTTTTGCAGGCTCAAAGGACACAGAACAAGTATCGTACACACCTGCCAGAACTGAAGATCTAGAGGAACTGAGGAAAGGAATAGTTTTTGATGGAATACCGTCTATTTTTCAACTGAGATTTTTCAGCGGAGATGGACCAGCACGACAGTTTGAGGCTGGTCAGCAGAGAGGGGGAAATTTTTCTTGCTTATGCGGTGTTCACAGTAAAGAGCACATGAATTTGGAATGCTGTTTTAAGCAAACACCCTCTGATTTGGAAGACCGCAGGACAGTATTTTTGAAAGGGGAAAGTCTGGTAAAAATAAAACAGGGAAATATCCAACCATAACAAAATCTAACTAAAGATGAATTGATTGAGGAACTTGAATGTAGAGGTGTTGATACTTCTAGGCTTAAGACAAAAGCAAGACTTCAGGGAGAAATGTCAGATTTGCTTCATGGAATATCTCGCCCTCCTGCCCTTCTCCTACATTATCCGGAAAAATCCTTGACAGAGAGTAACATCAGCTGTTATGAGGTACTCCCGTGTGAGCCGATATTCACTTGTTGTCGAGTTGCGAGTTAAGAAAGTCGAGTTGCGAGTTACGAAGGTAGAGTTGCGAGTTACGAATGTCGAGTTGCGAGTTACGAATGTCGAGTTGCGAGTTACGAATGTCGAGTTGCGAGTTAAGAAAGTCGAGTTGCGAGTTACGAATGTCGAGTTGCGAGTTACGAATGTCGAGTTGCGAGTTATGAAAGTCGAGTTGCGAGTTACGAATGTCGAGTTGCGAGTTAAGAAAGTCGAGTTGCGAGTTACGAATGTCGAGTTGTGAGTTAAGAAAGTCGAGTTGCGAGTTACGAATGTCGAGTTGCGAGTTAAGAAAGTCGAGTTGCGAGTTACGAATGTCGAGTTGCGAGTTAAGAAAGTCGAGTTGCGAGTTACGAATATCGAGTTGCGAGTTACTAATGTCGAGTTGCGAGTTACGAAAGTCGAGTAGCGTGAAAATGGGGAAAACTATTAAATTTTTTGGTGTACCTTTTTAACATTTTTGAATGATGATTGCTTATAGAATTGTATACAGTATTGTTGATTCTTTTTGTTGTTTGGACTTCATCTGAGTCTCGTGTAAAAAAATGAATGGATTGCTTACATAATCACCACGCAAGAAGAAACAGATAGCCTTTTTGAATACATGCCATAAATGATAAGTCATTGATATTTGCTAAGCAGTTGTTTTAGCCTTAATTTTGCATCTATCTTATTTCCATGGATATTATTTTGCACTGCGTCCACACCCATTGTTCATTGACAATAAAGTTTTGCATAGTTTACATGTTTTAGTGTTGCCATTTTTATTCAAATTCCAACATTTGCATTATATTATCAAATTTACATACAGGCAGGACACATCTCTGTATCCACAATTTTATTGTCATAGGGTTCCGCTCTCATTGCTGTATAGCCCGTATCGGCTCCATTCATATTGTATGCTTGCGAATCCTACACTTTACATCAACTGACCTTGCCAATCATCCAAGGATTTGAGTGGTCAACATTTTTGAACATTTATTAAATATCTGTGGGGAAAATGTGGTAGATTTTCTCCACCACTTGGCGTCCGTCGTCGTCTGTTAACTTTACAAATCTTCTTCTCGATCTGAAACTACTGAGCCAAATTTATTAAATCCTGGCCACAATCAATAATTAGTTTAATGGCAGATGACCTCGCCTGCCAACCAACATTGTCGACATAGCTAAAAATAGAACATAGGGGTAAAATATAAAAGCTGTTTATCAGCCAATATTGCTGAAATCGCCAGTTGCCTGACTCCCTGTAGGAGTCTTGCCTTTCAAATGATGATTTTTATCAATTTTGTGTCTATCATCTTGACAACTTTGACATGTATAAGACATAGAAACTTTAAAAAACAAAAATGATCACAATGATCAGCAAGACGAAATCTGCAAATGGAACAGCATTGATGAAATTGTCAGTTGTCTTCTATTAAGTTTAATTTCCTCTAAATGACTTTATTGCCCTTTTTGTTTTTTCGGAGAAATGGAAACCAAAAAAGTAATCAACAAAAAAGAGATTATAGTCATAAATTATATTCTTGTCTACAATGTTGGAAAGTGTTCACTGCACATAGACCTAGGCGAGCGACACAGGCTCTTTTACAGTATTTAGTTTTAAATCAGATAAAGTCGTTTAAAACAAATAAACAGTTAAGGCACACAAAGCAGGAAAATCCCTAAGCATTATCTATCTGCAGGCATCGCAGTTGTCATTACAGCTGTGTTGGCATGCATTATCATTCATATAGTCCTAATCATAAATAACCTGATTAAAAACTGAATTTTTCGAAATATTAAGGATTTCTACCCAGGTACAGATTACTGTAGCTGTATTTGACAAACATTTCGGAATTTTGAATACTTAAAGCTCTTCAACTTCGTACTTTATTTGGCCTTTTAAACTTTTTAGATTTGAGCGTCACTGATGAGTCTTTAGAAAGACGAAACGCGCGTCTGGCGTAGAAAAATTTTAATCCTGGTATCTATGATGAGTTTGTTTATTGACATGAAGTACTAGTATCATTCCAGGTAAAAATAAATTTTGAAAATTGATAAAAATTGTGTTCTTCTCTTACACTGTTGACTATCAAATTCTAAATGTTTGCAACTGTGTAGCGAACAGAATCGATGCCAAAGCTTGTTGTTCTTAACTGTGGCTGTTCAATTACATTTTTATCTGAATGAATATTTGTGAAAACTAACATTTATCAAAATCATACAAGTAAGATGGACTCTTTCTTTAGTTTAGAATTGTAAATGTTTCTTCAGCATATTCAGGTACTGCATGTAATCTTCTGACTTTAAGAGATCATGGGAGATTTGATGTACTAGTATGTAAAAGACCTTCATAAACAAGTCTTAATGCTCTCTCGCTCGTAATTTTTTTCAACTAAACTGTATTTTTTTTTAAATATTATATAAAAATGGACAAAATTATCTTTATTTACCTGTGTTTAAAGTTATTGCAAATGGCTGATATTTTTTTTTGAGCATATTGTTTTTCTTTAATTGTTTAACATTTCATACCGATATAACATGTTAATTTTATTATTCTTCCCTTAGTTTCTTTATTTTGTATTTACATTGTATCATAGGTCAAATTTATTTTTTCAGTGTATGTTCAATGGTGTTAATATGTCCTTTGATTGAGTTAAGCTATTTCAGTTGATATTTTATAGTGTGTCTTTCTATGTTGTGATGTTACACTATTGTTTCAGAAAAAGGGTGAAGGTTTGATACCATTAAAACGTTTAAACCCGCTGCATTTGTTTGCAACTGTCCTAAGTCAGGAATCTGATGTTCAGTAGTTGTCGTTTGTTGATGTGGTTCATAAGTGTTTCTCGTTTGTCGTTTTTTATATAGATTAGACCGTTGGTTTTCCCCTTTGAATGGTTTTACACTAGTAATTTTGGGGCCCTTTATAGCTTACTGTTCGGTGTGAGCCAAGGCTCCGTGTTGAAGACCGTACTTTGACCTATAATGGTTTACTTTTATGAATTTTTACTTGGATGGAGAGTTGTCTCATTGGCACTCATACCACATCTTCTTATATCTATTTACATCAGTATTCCTGTTGTAGAAGACAAGAGACAATTTTCAGTACTCATCCATATGCCAATTTGTCTCTGGTACAAAGTTATCTCATTGGCAACCATGCCACAAGTACGCATTATATTATTGTAAAATATTATTTGGTAGACAGTTGATAAATCTTAGTATGCCCAATGTGTGGGAGAGTACTTATACATCCCTCTTCCTTATATGAAATGACTCTTTTTACTCAATTGCAGAACATGATATTTTTTTACATTGTTTACTTTACACACTATTTTACTGAAATTTTATTCACTATTTTTGGTTGTAAAGCATATTTTGTACCAATTAATATGAAAAAAGGTATACCAATTTCCTGATGGAAATTAACATAAATTTTTATCACGGTAATGAAATCTAATTAGCTCATAATCAGTCTATTATATTTAAAAAAAGAAATGTTTACCCTTTCAAATATTTCCTGTTTTTCACTGTCTTTCCTGATTCTCTTTATTCTATGGGTCAGTATGTGCCTCAAGATAAATATCTTTTGATGTCATCCAAATCACATTGTAATACTTGCCGCTGAACACTGACCAATTTGAAATAATAACTCAAGCTGCAAAACATTAAAAATAAAATGAAAGAAGACATATCAAAAGTTTGTTAGCACGGTACCAGAAATTGATATAAATGTTTACTTGGAAAGAAATATACTTTCAAACCACAATCTGTAAGTAAGAATTTTACGATAAAAAATGCTTACATCAATATTCCTTTTGTATAAGACAAGACAATTTTCATTACTCATCCATATGCCCTTTGGTCTCTGGTTCAAAGTTATCTCATTGGCAAGCATGCCACAAGTACTCATTTTATTATTGTAAAATATTATTTGATAGACAGTTGACAAATTTTAGTAAGCCCAATGTGTGGGAGAGTACTTATACATCCCTCTTCCTTATATGAAATGACTCTTTTTACTCAATTGCAGAACATGATATTTTTTTACATTGTTTACTTTACACACTATTTTACTGAAATTTTATACACTATTTTTGGTTGTAAAGCATATTTTGTACCAATTAATATGAAAAAAGGTATACCAATTTCCTGATGGAAATTAACATAAATTTTTATCACGGTAATGAAATCTAATTAGATCAAAATCAGTCTATTATATTTAAAAAAGAAATGTTTACCCTTTCAAATATTTCCTGTTTTTCACTGTCTTTCCTGATTTTCTTTATTCTATGGGTCAGTATGTGCCTCAAGATAAATATCTTTTGATCTCATCCAAATCACATTGTAATACTTGCCGCTGAACACTGACCAATTTGAAATAATAACTCAAGCTGCAAAACATTAAAAATAAAATGAAAGAAGACATATCAAAAGTTTGTTAGCACGGTACCAGAAATTGATATAAATGTTTACTTGGAAAGAAATATACTTTCAAACCACAATCTGTAAGTAAGAATTTTACGATAAAAAATGCTTACATAAGTATTCCTTTTGTATGAGACAAGACAATTTTCATTACTCATCCATATGCCCTTTGGTCTCTGGTACAAAGTTATCTCATTGTCAAGCATGCCACAAATACTCATTGTATTTTTGTAAAATATTATTTGGTAGACAGTTGACAAATCTTAGTAAGCCCAATGTGTGGGAGAGTACTTATACATCCCTCTTCCTGATATGAAATGACTCTTTTTACTCAATTGCAGAACATGATATTTTTTACATTATTTATTTTAAACACTATTTTTCTGAAATTTTATACACTATTTTTGGTTGTAAAGCATATTTTGTACCAATTAATATAAAATAAGGTATACCAATTATCTGATGGAAATTAACATAAATTTTTATCACGGTAATGCAATCTAATTAGATCATAATCAGTCTATTATATTTAAAAAAGAAATGTTTACCCTTTCAAATATTTCCTGTTTTTCACTGTCTTTCCTGATTTTCTTTATTCTATGGGTCAGTATGTGCCTCAAGATATATATCTTTTGATCTCATCCAAATCACCTTTTAATACTTGCCACTGAACCCTCACCAATTTGAAATAATAACTCTTAGCTGCAAAACATTAAAAATAAAATGAAAGAAGACATATCAAAAGTTTGTTAGAAAGGTACCAGAAATTGATATAAATGTTTACTAGGAAAGAAATATACTTTCAAACCACATTCTGTAGGTAAGAATTTTACGATAAAAAATGCTTACATCAGTATTCCTGTTGTAGAAGACAAGAGACAATTTTCAGTACTTATCCATATGCCCTATGGTCTCTGGTGCAAAGTTATCTCATTGGCAACCATGCCACAAGTACTCATTTTATTTTTGTAAAATATTATTTGGTAAACATTTGACAAATCTTAGTAAGCCCAATGTGTTGGAGAGTACTTATACATCCCCTTTCCTTATATGAAATGACTCTTTTTACTCAATTGCAGAACATGATATTTTTTTACATTGTTTACTTTACACACTATTTTACTGAAATTATATACACTATTTTTGGTTGTAAAGCATATTTTGTACCAATTAATATGAAAAAAGGTATACCAATTTCCTGAATTAACATAAATTTTTATCACGGTAATGAAATCTAATTAGATCAAAATCAGTCTATTATATTTAAAAAAGAAATGTTTACCCTTTCAAATATTCCCTGTTTTTCACTGTCTTTCCTGATTCTCTTTATTCTATGGGTCAGTATGTGCCTCAAGATAAATATCTTTTGATCTCATCCAAATCACATTGTAATACTTGCCGCTGAACACTGACCAATGTGAAATAATAACTCAAGCTGCAAAACATTAAAAATAAAATATCACAGTAATGAAAATCTAATTAGGTCATATTCAGTCTATTAGATTAAAAAAAGAAATGTTTACCCTTTCAAATATTTCCTGTTTTTCACCATCTTACCTTCTTCTTTATATTCCATGTGTCAGTATATGTTCTTCTAGATATATTGTGTTTGATCTCTGCATACAAATCTCATTGTAATACTTGCCGCTGAACACTGACCAATTTGAAATAATAACTCAAGCTGCAAAACATTAAAAATAAAATGAAAGAAGACATAATAAAAGTTTGTTAGCAAGGTACCAGAAATTGATATAAATGTTTACTTGGAAAGAAATATAATTTCAAACCACAATCTGTAAGTAAGAATTTTACGATAAAAAATGCTTACATAAGTATTCCTTTTGTATAAGACAAGACAATTTTCATTACTCATCCATATGCCCTTTGGTCTCTGGAACAAAGTTATCTCATTGTCAAGCATGCCACAAATACTCATTGTATTTTTGTAAAATATTATTTGGTAGACAGTTGACAAATCTTAGTAAGCCCAATGTGTGGGAGAGTACTTATACATCCCTCTTCCTGATATGAAATGACTCTTTTTACTCAATTGCAGAACATGATATTTTTTACATTATTTATTTTAAACACTATTTTTCTGAAATTTTATACACTATTTTTGGTTGTAAAGCATATTTTGTACCAATTAATATGAAAAAAGGTATACCAATTTCCTGATGGAAATTAACATATATTTTATCACAGTAATGAAAATCTAATTAGATCATAATCAGTCTATTATATTTAAAAAAGAAATGTTTACCCTTTCAAATATTTCCTGTTTTTCACCATCTTACCTTCTTCTTTATATTCCATGTGTCAGTATATGTTCTTCTAGATATATTGTGTTTGATCTCTGCATACAAATCTCATTGTAATACTTTCCACTGAACACTGTCAAATTTAAAATAATAATTTTAGCTGGAAACATTGAATACTTATTGAATGGAGACTTAGTTAGATTGGTATCAGAAATGAATATAAATTCTTAAAATGGAAAAAATTATATATCATCAAGCATGAGTAGCATTTTTGATAATATTTTGGAAATAAATTAAGGTACAAAATGTAACTCATTCCATTTAATTTGACTTACATGTTGCCAGTGTTGGAAACTATTTATAACATGTTGTGTATATACATGTATGAAGTTTAGACAACTGCTAATGTGAAATATATTTCTTACCTGAAGTTACGAGTTGTTTCAATGAACATGTAAGTTCTGGGTAGACAATAATGTTATAATATCAATGGGTTTTTTGGGAGCATATTATATCATAGGGGCTTGTTTAGTGGGTCAGACGAGGTTTGACTGTCAATGTTGGTCGTGCTCCTATATAAAACACCAAAAGGCAATAAACAAGTTTCTTACCGCCAATTTTCAAAATCATAATTTCCAACAATTTCCCACTCATATATCATTTACCTTTCCAATTATTATGACGTCTTGAAAGGCTATTATACTTTTTTGTTTTGACGCCTTACAGCGGCGATGTAAGGCGTCAAAGCAAAAAAGTTTAATAGCCTTTCAAGACGTCATAATTATATGGACTAATCATTTACCATGCACCAAAATGTTACAAATTGAACAAATTCCTAAATATCTGGTCCTTTCCTTTTAATTTTCCCTTTTAACGCTGTTTTTTTAACATTTTTTGCCAGTACAGAACAAACGGACAACAGAAAACCATGAGAACAAATTATAGCGGATTGCTCATTTATATTATAATAAACAGGTTGGGAACAACCCCCCAAATGAGGGATATCCCTTAAATGAGGGACTGTCCCTCAGACTAGGGGTCATTTTACTGTTGTAGAAAAGAAAAAAGAAAGGCTTAGATTTTTGAACTTAAAAGGGGGAAAATTTATTATATTTGGAACAATTCTTTAAAAAGAGGGGGCTCAATTATTTTTAATAATAAAGAAGATATAAGCCCAGGAATATTGCAAAATTCTTGGACCATATAAACCAAGAGAGATTTATAGTTCTTTTGGGAAAACTGGAAAAGTTTCTTCAAATAATATAGATATGTGCTCATTTGTAATAAAAAGTGGTTTTTACAAACAAACAAAATTAAAACTTGAAATGTACCCCTCATAAAAGGGATAGTCATTACATCGAGGGGTTACCCCTCATTTGAGGTGTTGTTCCCAACCGGATAAATGACATTATCGTAATCATATCATTGTACAAAGACAATTTAAAAGTGCAGTGGTACCAGAAGTTCAGAACTAATAATCGGTATGACCTGACCGCATGTGCATTTTAATTTTACTCATTTTGGTCAGCATTTGATGTTTATCTTCCAAGACTTACAAAACGTGCTTTTATGATTTTTTATCTGTGACTGTGTGCCATGTGTCTGTAAAAAATGTCAACTATCTGGAAAACGGATGTCTTGTGAATTGGGTTATCACCGGAGTCAAAGGCGGATAGCTTTAGTTTCAATCCGAATTTTATCTTCTTTTATGTTGGTGTTTAATGAATAAAAATGAAATGAATGTGATTTCCTGCATCAAATCTTTTACACGTCAGTTCAGATCACTTCATTTGTGCCGTCTAAATATTCATGAACGCACTTTTATTTGTAAAGTATTTAAGGTAAAGATATATAGTAAGCATTACCTTTTAAGTTATCGTGTAGCATATATAATGTTAAAGCATCAAATTATGACATGATTTAACTTATCAGCCTGGAAGGCCAAAATCAACGTCAAGTTCTGGCCGCCATTACGTGTTGACACCGTCGTCTAGTGAACCGTATCACTTAGCACCGAAATCCTTACTCAGGAGCTTCCGGTTGTTCTACTGAAGAAGACGTAAAAATTGGGTTCCGTATGACTTAACAAATATTGTTTTAAAGATACCCACCACTATATTCTAAAAGGTGTAACAAATATGTACATATGTTATATCATGTTGTTCGTTTTTCTGATGTTTATGTTCTATTTTTCAGGTTTAATTGATTAAAAAAAAGTAAAACAACAAAAATACCGAACTCCAAGGAAAATTCAAAACGAAAAGTCCCTTAACAATTGGCATAATCAAAAGCTCAAACGCATCAAACGAATGGAAAACAACTGCCATATTCCTCACTTGGTACAGATATTTTCTTATGTAGAAAATGGTGGATTAAACCTGGTTTTAAAGCAAGCTAAACCTCTCACTTGTATTACAGTCGCATAAAATTCCATTATATTGACAACAGTGTGTGAGAAAAACATAGACATAGTAGGTAAAAATGTCAAAAATAGGGGTACAGCAGTCAACATTGTGTCTCAATCACTATAAAAACAAACCAATATGTCAACCAAGAAAATCAAAATGGCACATAAACAAAGCACATACGCAACATTGAAACACAAGAATACAAAAAATGACAACAGCACAACACAATGGCGGGATGTACAAGTACCGAGCCACGTCTAAAGGATATTACCAAAAATGGACCAAACAGTAATTGTTAATAATTGTTTGATGTGTTTGAGCTTTTGATTTTGCTATTTGATTATGATTTATATCTAGAAATTGACTATGAGGGTCGGTTGAAAACAAAACTTTACGACAAAAGAGATGATTTCAGCTTCCCAATTATGACCTTTTCATTTTTAAATCAAAAGTTCCAAATGGTGAAGTTGAAATCATCACTTCGTAAATTTTACGGACGCCATCACGAGTTGGTTGACCGTTTTGGAATATCTGTGATACAGATGATATCGGATGTGTTCCTTATGTCGTAACTACAATCCCGTTCCCTTTTCACGAATATGACCTACCGAATTAGACTATTTACCAGTTTTGTAATAACAAGAGCAACACGACAGGTGCCACATGTAGAGCAGCACCTGAAATCACCCCCATTTTTTGGTGGGGTTCGTGTTGTTGTTGTAACCCCAATGGTGACATTTTGTTCACGCATCGTTGTCAATATAATAAAATTTGATGCGACTGTCGATCGTACAAGTGAGAGGTTTAGCGCTATAAAACCAGGTATAATCCACCATTTTCTACATTGGAAAATGCCTGTACCAAGTCAGGAATATGACAGTTGTTGTCCATTCGTTTGATGTGTTTTATCATTTGATTTTGCAATTTAATTAGGGACTTTCCGTTTTGAATTTCCTCGGAGTTCAATATTTTTG